ACTAAACAAAGGTCAGTCGCATCTGTAAAGCTATAAAAATTCATTCCTTCTACAGGCCTAAGCCTTTCTTCCAATAACTTCATCTTCTTCCAGGCACTAGTATCTTCTACTTTTTCAGGTATTTGCATCCCTAGTTTTTCTCTTTCCTTGGGATCATCCAAATCAGGAACTAAGATTGACTCAGGTGGTTTGTCCATCATAACAGGATTAACAAAATTTTGAAATTGTCCTATAGTAGGTGTGGATGTCATTCCTGGATAACGATTGGGATATCCACCGAGAATAGAAATTTGTACTCTAGTTCCTTGAAAATGTTTAGTCGATTGTGGCTCAAATCCCGAAAGGTAAACAGGATCCACCATGTTTGGTGATTGCTCTTGAAAGCTGAGATTTTCTTCCACTGCTTTTCCCTTGTCAAGTTTCCTGAGCATATCCATTATTGTACTAAGATCCCCTCTTAGTTCTTCTTAAGCTTTCTCGATTCTCTCAAATCGACTGGTCTGTTCTTGCTCCATAATTCTTGTTTGAGTTCTGGTGTTGTATGAATGGCGAGTGGGTTAAATCAAAATTTTTGAAGGGCAAGCTATTTTTGAACCTTTATTACCACAAAATTTTTAAAAAAATCAGAATGCTTTGTGTTAAAATTTTTATTTTTTAAATTTTTTTTTTTAAAATGGTGCAGATGATGCATGAATGCAAGTAAAAAAATATTTACTCCTGGACAAATTTCAATACTAGAAATTTTTATTGATTCCATACAACTTTGATTACATGAGATTTATCATCCTAGAATTATATTCATAGAAGCATTTGACTTGCTCATAATGGTCTTTTGTCTCGTTTAGAAAATTTACTAGGTGCTGTCAATATTCTCCTATAGGATTGACTTCTTATCTTAATGCTTCTACCTTTTCAACCATCTTCCATGCCTTTTTTACTCCCTTACAAACTTGACTGGTTATGTGCTCTATGTAGTGTTGCCTCCTTAAACTTTCTGTTTTCCACATCAAGTGAGCATCTCTTTCTGAATCACATGTGAAGATCCAATCTTTTTCCCTTCTATGCCACTCATCTATCATTACTGAAATATGGTTCTTGTGATCTTGCAATTGTAGCTCCAACCCTTGGATCACCTAGTGAAGTGATTCTTTTTCATTCAGTATTTCGAAGTACTTTCTTCTCTCTTTTGCGAGCATGACTTTCAACTTTTTTTTTTCGTTTTGGCATTCCACCAATCTTGTTGAGGTTGTAGAATATAATCCCTTCCAATTCTGACATTCTTGAGAAATTCTGGTGGTCTCCTCTTGCTTTTCTTGAGCTTTGCTTTTCCATTGGTTTATTCCCTCTCGGAGTTCATCCATTTCACGTTGTCGACTAAGGTAAGACTTAGTGGCTTTTTTAGTTTTGAATTGGATCCATAACCTCTTGTTTTTCTGGTGTAGATCTTTCAAATCACTATTAGCCAGATCCCGTTCTTTTATGACTTTTTCTAATCTGCTCCATTGAATCTCTGCTTCATATTTCAATTACCCTACTTTCTTGTGAAATCTTAAATTTTCTCTTCTTATTTCTTTTTTTTCAGCTTCTAATTCTTTCTTGACAAGCTCAATTTATGATAATTGTACCTCTTTCGAAAGATTAACCAATTGATATGAGCTATCATCAAGAGGGAGTACTATGTCTCTAGGCCGCCTTACTTTTCAAATCTGGTAATCAGAAGTGGCTTTATCGATGAGAGGCCCTAACCTCATTCTTCATGTTCTTTTCCATGCTTAGATCAATTGCTCTGAGGTTTTTGATGGATTCGATTCCCCATAAATGAATTCTACTTGGACCAGGCCATGAGTAGTAGAAACAAACTGCTTTGCACCAAATTGCCTAAGTACCATCAATGGAGTGTAACTTACAATACCCCATAATCCTAACAATGGTATCCACGGCTCATTTCTTCCACGATACAACAAGGGCACACGAGGCATCCAAGGTGCCATTCATTCGATTTCATCCCCAGTAAGCCTTCGCAAGAAAAGGACCTAATCTTCTTTAGTCTTCAATGTTGACCATTGACTTTTGTAGAACTCTTCTATTGGTGCTTTGTTTCGTAGATACGGCTTTGAAAATGTACTCTTCCCACATTTAAAATGACTCTAACCCACACAATTAATAGAGGTGCATATCTTATGAACCATCCCTTTCCATTTCATCGACAGAAATTCAATGATTGAATGGTTTCTGCTAAGACTGTTGGTACGGGATTAATTGCTTGGGTTTCAATTTGCTCGAAAAAATCTATCACAGTTATCTCAATGTAACCCAAAGTCTTTGGAAAGATTACCATGCCATATAATGCTAGAGCAAACACAGCCATACCTTGATCATCATTTAAATGCTCCTGAATGAAGTTTTGGAGAAAATTCCAATGAATACTGAGATGTTCACCTTTAGATTTCATGAAAGAATCAATGGTTTCTACTTTAACCCCCATAAGCTTGGCTAACTTTTTACGATAACCTAATTTTGGCTTTCGGGTAAATACTTTATCTGGATATTATAGTTCTATCATGAGTAAAATCGAATACTCCTCGATAGTTGACACTAAATCTTCCTGATTAAAAGTGAAACATCTATTGGATGGATCCCAAAACTGTATAACTGCTTTGACCAGCTGTTTATCAATCACTACTGAAATGAGGGATGCAATCTGCCAATACTTTTTGCAAAAGCTTTCTTTTCTTTCTTCACTTAACTGACCCCAGACAGTAACTAACTCTTTTAAATCATTCTGTGTGAGATCTAAATGCATTTTCTCGGGTAATTCAGACACATAACTAGTAGGCAAACAATCTCTATTCTTTTGTTGAACTTCTTTCGACCAAACATGTATTTCATTATACGATTCACATGGCACACTGACTGAGGATGAACAAATTTATAGTTCTACAGGTTCCATTAAAACTTCTTAGGAGAAATATGTCCTAGAGTAAATATCTCGATGCAAAACTATATGATATGATTAATGTAAAAAAAATGAAACAAAATTGAGCTAGTATGGTTCGAAAAAAAACATTTTTTTTTTAGGGTTTTTGAGATTTTTTTTTTGTTTGTTTTGTTTCATATTATACACAACTTTTATTTTTAGGTATTTCCTACAAGAAGAAAGACAAGGCTCTACATAAGGTTGATTTTCTAGGCTTATTATATGATGGATTTGGATTGACTGGGTCTAAAGGTTCCCAAATTGTTCCTCACTGTCGTCCATGTTGGACTAGTAAGGCACCCCGATCCTCACCCATTACAGGCTATGAACGAAAATGATTCAATTCGAGTGGAAGTATTTCACTTGCCATTGCGAAGGTTATCACCTCACGAGAACATAGGTACTTTACTTCTTCCTGTAAAGGACGGAGCCCGGGTATAGAGCTCATGTATGAGATGCATCATGCCATCGTGTGCAAATATATCCTAATTTATTGAGAGCAATATATACAGAAAAATAAAACATAAGAGGCATAGTAAAAGAAATGTGTGTGAATTTTTTTTGCTTTTTATTTTTGATTTATTTTTTTATTATTATTTTTTTTCTTTTTTTACTAAAAGCAAAAAATTAAAAAATTAAAAAATTGATTAAGACTATTTAAATCAAAATTTGAGGATAACAAGTAATTAATTTTGGCCTGACTCTCGAAAACAAATTCCTATCCCCAGTGGAGTTGTCAAGCTGTCGTAACAGTTTCGTGTTCGCCCGACGAATTTGGAAACGAAATAAAAATAACGGAGTCGCCACCAATCTTTTTTGGCTAGGTGCGATTGGCCACCTATTAAAACATATCTTTTTAATGAAATCTTAAAATTAATTAAAAAGATAATTTTAGAGGTCTGCGTAACTGTCTGGGTTCGGGAGTCGGTTACGTGTGGGGAAGGATTAGAACCCCCACAGCGCCCGTTAAAAAAATGGTACCAATTAACTACATGTTATCCTTCAATTTTGATAAAAATAGTCTTATTTTCGGCATTTGAAGATTAATTTCCTTGATTTTTTTTATTTATTAGAAAAAATTTTATTCTCGAGAAAAATAAATTAAAACCTTTTTATTGAAATAATTCTTAAAATGTTCTAGTACGTTGGTAACATTAGAAGAACTTTTTCTCACCTAGAGATTTCTTAAAGCATCTCTACTTGGAATACTTTTAGAATCCCATCATTGGATTAAATTTATTTTCTTCCTATTTTTATTACTTATATTTTTAATATATTAATCAATTTTTATTTATTGTTTTAAAAAAAAGAAAATTTTTACTGTATTGAAAATTTTTTATAAATACTCCAATATACTGGTAGTATTTTAAAAAAATCTTCTCACCTAGAGATTTCGTAGGCATCACTACTCGGAATACCTTTGAATCTCATCGTTGGATAAAAATTACCTTTTCTTACATTTTTTATTAATTTTTTATTAATTAAATTTATTTTTATATTATTGTTTTTAAAGTTTATTTTAAAAATTAACAAAATTATAAATGAATTTAACCACATATTTCATCATTTAATCTAACAAATATAAATATTTTAATATGCATAAATATTAATCAAATACTATATAAAAAATAAGAAAAATTCAAAAAAAAATTTTTTTTACCTGAACTGGACCGATCAACAGTCCGGTCAACGCGCGGTTCGGTTTGACGGTTCGGTTCAGTCTGGGCGATTTAGCGGTTCAGTACCGGCTCAGTTCGGTCTGGGCGGTTTGGTTTCGGTCCAGTCAGACCGATCAGAGGCTGACGAAGAAAACGGGTCGCAGGTCGGGTGCACGGACCCTGGGTCGAGTCGCGAGTTGACGCGCAGATCCTTAGATGTTAAAACGGCGTCGTTTTGGGCCTTTAATGAAACGACGTCATTTTGGTTCTAAGCGTTTATATAAAAGGTTCAAAATTTTTTTTGGTCATTTTTCCTTTCTTCTAAAAAAAAATGCCCCCTTTTTTTTTCTTCTCTCCTTTTCTCTTCAACCGGATGCTGGCCGGTCTACCGCCACCACAGTCGCCGTCGTCGTCGTTCGTCGGTCACCAGCCGTTGCGCCGGTGGTCAAAAAAATCTCAAAAACATCAAACTGTTCTTCTTGACCTCCTGCGCGCAGATCTGACCTCCTTTTCACCAAAAGGAGTCTCCACTTCCCTAGATCTGCTTTCAAAGTTTCAGCCAAAAAGGAGAAAATTTTTTTTTGTGTTTTTCTGGTTTGTTTTTTTTGTTGTGTGTTTTTGTAGGTATGTTTTGGTGCTGGGTTCCCTATTCCAGGGGACTATTTCTACTTATTTTTTTGGGTTTCTGCAAAAAAAATTTTTTTAAATCGAAGCTTTTTTTTTTTGTAAAAATTTTGCCTCTTTTTTTTTTGGTTCTCCCTCTCCCGTTTGCAAATAACAAGCTCTATTTATAGAGCTTGTTGGGATTCAAATCCCAGATCTTCTGGGATTCTAATCCCATTTTTCAACTGAAAAATCACGCCTGTCGTTCATGATTGGTGGCTTGTCGGTCGGCCGTTGGTAGCTAACGGCGGTGATTTTGAATTTTAGAGATTGTGCATTTAATGCACTAGATTTGAATCGGATAAGGATGGATAAGAAGGAAAAAGAAAGGAGGAAAGAAAGAAGAAGAAAAGAGAAGAAGACAAACGTAGAAACGAAAAGAAAAGAAAGAGAAGAAAATAAATTAAATAAATAATAATAATAATAATAATAATAAAATAAATGGTGTTTACATTAAGAATGTAAGATTATTAGTAATATCAAAATAGGGCATCAATATCAAATAAATTACATACTAATCGGTACCCAAAATATTTTAACCACAAACCTTTTTTGACACCTAACTATGTTCATAGTTAAATTTCTTGGTTTTTCCTTTTTTATGAAAATAGATTCAAATTTTATTTTAGAGAAAAAATAATAAATCAATCAACGAATAAAATATTTTTATAATTTTTATTTTTCTTGCTTTGCATACCCTTTTAAATGCATTTTGATAACCAAATATACAATATGCATGAATCTAAATAAATTTGTTTTGTCAAAACACGTGACCCCCCGCTAATTTCCCTTCCATAAAGAAAGAAAAATAAAATTATAAGAAAGATTAGTGCAAATAAAACTTGGAACTGAATTAAGCTCACTGCCATGCATAACGAATCCAGGAATTGTAATTGGTGATGCAAATTAATATATATATGTACAATATTATGCATAAAAAAGATATAAATAAAAATTAATTTGTATAATAAAGATGGACATCTACGCTCATAGTAATTTAGTTTACTTAAGTTTTTATTTCTATTGAGTGTATGTTTTAACTTCATTTGAATTTTTTTAATGAAATTTAATAATTAATGATAACTTTTGTCTATATTTATAAAATTTTTTTAAAAATTTAAAATTAAAATATATTAAACAAATTTTAATTATTTAAAATAATTATATTTTATTATTTTTATTATTTAATTAATTTTAGTCTTATTTTTAAATAATTTGATAAATTTAATTCATACATAAAATTAGAAATTAAATAAATAAAAATGTGCCAGATAGATAAAAATATAGTTTATATATAATAGTTTAGTATGAAAAAATAGTTTAATATTAAAAAGATTACAATTTTCAAAAACTTATAATCTAATATATAAAAGGACTACGATTTTTTAAAAAATCATAGTCTATATAGATAAATTTGAAGTTTACTATAACTAAAAACTTTGATTTTTGAAAAAAATCAGTCTAATATAAAAAGATTAACTTTTTAAAAAAACGGTAACCTAATAGTAAAAAACCATAATTATTAAAATTTTTTTCAAGCACCCTAGCTGCCCCAAATCAACTGTGTTTCTTTTTTTCCACCACAATAAAGAAATGAAAGGAAAAAAAAAAAGATTAGAAACATCTCAATTGACGCCAACGTTAATTGGAGGAAGACTTCATAAGTCTTAGGAAGTCTTTTAAAACTAGTATAAGAGTAATATCACACCCTACCTGCCCCAACCTAGTTAGCTGCCTTTCTACGTAATAAAGAAAAAAAACGTAAGAAAGGAAAAGACAAGAAAAAGTAGAAATATCTAAAATTGACGCCAATGTCAATTGGAGGAAGACTTAAGATGTCTTTCAAGAAATGTTTCACGTCATTCATGATTTATGTGGTTTTGCAATGATTTGATCACAACCTAATCAATGCCTTGAGTTGACTCGTGCCTGTAACATATTTACTAATTTATTATTGCCATGAACACGTTAGTTTGTAAGTCTGTGTGGAAATTAACCGGAAAGGGTGGAAAAAAATACCTGACCATCCGTTCTAGTCAATGTAATTTATACTTAAATAATTAATAAAATATATATTCCTGAACTATCCCAATCATGGCTTCTTTCTTAATATCATTTCAAGTTCCGTTGTTTTCCATGCTTGTGTAGGTTCGGTCATCTTATGCTTATCTAAATGAAATCATAAAATATTAATTTTTATTTAATTAAACCTTATTTTACATAAAAACTTAAGGAAATTAAACTTTTGACACGCTCAAACTAAATTTTAGATATTTTAAATATAGTAGGTTCATTGTTAGCGTTAATTTACACAATGCCTTTATTTAGGATTATTACACAATTTTAATACATAATTTCAAGAAAACCAAACTTTTGAACATGAACATTTAGCTAATAATCACTGACCTACCTCCAATTCAAAAAAAAAAAAACAAAAACAAAAAATGTTTGATACAAATGGAAAAGAAACTTTTAACCAGATGTTTCCATACAACAATGTTACTATCCAACAATACTGTGAAACTAAAACTCAAAAAAAATTCCCTAATCTCTCTTTTTATGTTAATTTTTGATTAAATTCTCCCTCTTCTATATTTAAGTGATTTGCTTTTAATTAACCCATTGACCTTGAATGAATAAGAAGTAATTTATTTTTAAAGATTTAACTAATTTTAATTTTATTTATTAATAAAATGTCACCATTAGTGAATAAATATTTAACTACATATATATTAGATTGCTTAAATATTTGAATACAAAGGAGAGAAAGAAGGAGATTGAGAAAGCAAATTATACTCGTACCAAGAATTATTATCCAAATTGTTAGCACCTAATTAGCCACAAACTCCATGACCAAGAGTTCTCCCAATTTGATGATCGTGAAAAGATTGGGAAATGGAAACTATTGACTGGTAAGGGCTTGAGCAACCTATTGCGTGGTTGGCCGAAGTTGGGGATTGTCATTCAAGGAAGCAAATGCTACCTTTGTAGTAAATACTACATCCTCTGCAACTTGGTTTTTGGTGATGAGAGATGCTGGTCTGTGGCATCTTTAATAAAATCTGTAGGTCATTAGGTACCAAAGCCAATGTCGAAGCCAATGTCGATGATGATAAACATGATATAAGATCACTAGGACGTCTTCCCGTAAGAACTTCCATTGTTAGAATCCCAAAACTATATACATCACATTTTTCATCTACCTTCATCGGATAAGCGAACTTTGCTTAAAGAAATATATCTAATCAATGTGTTCTATTAAACAACAAATATATCTAACCAATATACTATTATATAAAAATATTGAGAAGATTATAAAATATATGTTGAAAAGAAACTGCGAATGTTTAGAAGATTATTTGAAAATTGAAATTCAAAAGTTCAAATAAAATTTTACATTTAATTCATCAGTTTGATATATTGAATATTGAAAAATTAAGTGTTAATCTTTAAAAATTAATTACACATTTGATACTTGAATTATAGTCAAATTCTTAATTTGATACTTAAATTTTGAAAAGTTACAATCATGATACTATTTGAACTTTGTTTTAACACATCAATTTGCATACAAAACTAACACTTTCAATGATTGCGTGTTTAAAGCATCTTAAAAAAAGAGCTCAATAAATACCTGGAGCTATATACTCGAAAGTGCCAGCAAATGATGTCCAATTAGAAGTATCGGGCTTTAAAAGCCTGGCTGTGCCAAAATCTAAGACATGAGCCTCATAGTCCGAATCGAGAAGAATATTGTTGCTAAAAATGTCTCGATGAATTATAAGTGGTGAATGGTCGTGCGGCATATAAGACAAGGCATTTGCCACTCCTTTTACAACATTTAACCTCTTCTCGCAATCCAACTGAATTGCCTCATCCTGATTCCTTAACACCATTTTCAAACTTCCCCTTTCTGCAAACTCATAAACCAAAAATGAGTTCTTTGGATGTGGACATAAGCCATACAGCTTCACAATGTTATGATGCCTTATTTCTGATAAACCATGAATCTCGCTTTCAAAGGCTTTCAAGTTGTTGGAAATCGTGTTATTTTCAGATTGGTGAAGTTTCTTCACTGCAACCACCTCACCAATGAGTAGCACAGTTTTATAAACAGCTCCATAGCCTCCCGAATGCAATTGTTGGAGCTGAAATCTTCAGTGGCTTTAATAATGTTCTCATAGAGTATTCTTCCATTATATCCCCACAATGTGACAAAATCTCCAAGTTGTGCCTCCATTGACTCAGATTTTCTAGTTTGGTTCTTTTGGCAAAGAATAAAGAAACTTCCAGCCATGATAACGAGTAAAAGAAGAAGACCAAAGAGTGAAAGCACAATGCAAATGATGACATTGGTGCTTTTTCTATGACCAACGTTGTTGCTAGCAGCAGCGACGACACAATGCATTAGTCCAGTGGCATTACCACTTAGGCCCTTATTGTTTCTTAAGGCATCAAATGAAGCCTCATGAAATGCCTTAATGTTGGGAATAGGACCTTCTAATTGATTGTAAGAGATATTCACAACAGTCAAGCTTTACAAATCATTAAAAGAATTTGGGATGGAACCATTGAGCATATTGTGAGAAAGGTTCAATATTTCCAAGGAAAGTAATTTTGCAAGCTGTTGTGGTATCTCCCCAATAAGTAAATTCTGACTTAAGTCTAGATTTTCAAGACCATATATGTAGCTTATTGAAATTGGAATGCTTTCTCCAAGTTTATTCTTGTTCAAATTCAGGTTCAATAACTTAGAGCACTTTCCAAGTCTATTAGGAATTGATCCACTTAAATTGTTTGATGCCAAGTTAAGATGTCGCAGGTTTGAAAGAACTCCAATCTCTGATGGAATTTTGCCTGAAAGTTGGTTACCACTTCGCAAAAGATTGAACATTAATGTCAATGCTCCCAATTCCTTGGGAATCTCACCCATGAGATGATTTGAAGAGACATCGACTTCTTGTAATTGAGTTGCATGTTTCAGCTCAGGTGGTATCTTTCTAGAAATGTTATTATTGGAGATTCATAGGCTTGTTAGACTATGGCATTGCCCCCAGTTTGAAGAAAGTCACCATAAAATTTGTTGTTGCTTAATGCAATATAATTCAAATTAGGATATATACCAAAAGCTTCTGATATATTGCCTGTCAACTGCTTTCCTTCAAGCCTAACTCTGCAAAAGCTTTTGTAGTTTCTTAAACTTGATGGGATCAGACCCGTCAAATTGTTGTTGATAGCCCCAAGATATATGAGTTGTCCACCGAGGCATAGTTCTCGGGTAATGGACCACCGAGATGGTTGTCCGATATTTGGAATGATTCCAAATGTGTAAGATTGCTGAACGAAGGAATTGGCCCTGATAAATGATTATATAGAAGACTGAACCCCACAAGTTTCGTCCTATTTCCAATTGAAGCAGGAATTGAACCAGAAAACATATTTTGATCAAGGTAGAGAGTAGATAAGCTGGTCAAGTTTCCTAGGGAAGCAGAGATTGAAACCGAGAAATTGTTATAAAAGAAAATAAGTTCTGTAAGAGATACAAGCATCCCTATCTCTTGAGGTATTGAACCGAAAAGCTTATTTTCTAAAAGGTAAAGTGTAGACAATTTGGTTAAGTTTCCTATGAAAGCAGGGATGACTCCAGTGAGATTATTACTTTACAACTGCATTGTGATAAGAGATCCAAGTTGTCTTATTTCACTGGGGATAGAACCAGAAACGTTATTACCGTACAGATAAAGCCATACCAATTTACTTAGGTTTCCCAGAGATGTTGGGATAGGACCAGTTATTTGGTTTATTGAAAGATCAAGCATATTGAGTGACTTCATCATTCCAACTTCTCTAGGTATGGCACCATTGAGACTATTGTCAACTAGGAGAAGTTGGGACAAATTATACAAGCTTCCAATAGAAATAGGTGTTGGACCGGTGAGATTGTTTGCTTCAAGGAGAAGTAGAGAAAGTGAACTCAACCTTCCGATTTTAGATGGAATACTTCCGGAGAAATTGTCAAGCCCAGTGAGCTTGGAAAGGTTCCAAACCTCTCCAGGAATAGAACCACGTAGATGGTTACAAGAGAAAAAGATGTAGGAAACTGAACTCAACCTCCCTATTTCTTTTGGAATGGAACCATTGATCTCACTATTTGATAAGGAAACCAACTCAAGACTTTTCAATAAGCCAATTTCGGATAGAATATTCCCAGAAAAAGTATTTGATGTTTATGTGATTTGTTCTAACTTTAAATAAAAAATCTTTTTTCATCATAGATTTTTTTATTACAAAAAAAATCGATGGTGATTTAACATATGAATAAAAAATTTAAGAGGAGAAGGTGAAATCATTAAAAATATGTAAAAACATTATTTTTTAATGTGTTTGATAAGAAAATATGTAAAATAGATAAAAATATATTTTTTATTTATTATTTGATAAATATATATTTTTTAATTTGTAAGCTAAATAGAGGTGAAAATTAGAATTGAATTTTTTTCATTTAAGATTCTTATATGAAGTTTTGATTTTTATAATATTTTATTTAATATCTTGGAATCAAGTTATTTGATAATTAAAACGAAATTATAACTTTAAAATCTATATCGACTTATAATATTTTATTTACCCAAGTCTTTTGCATAAGCAGTATAATACCCAAGTCGACTCAAAATCGACAAGTTATGCCATTTTTAAATTAGTTTGTTCTCTTCTTTGTATGTTTAAATAATTCATATTTGACATGTCTATTTGAGATGGAAACAATAACCTGAATGCTCCATGGCCAAGTAGAAGTGTTTTGAGTCAAACCTATTTGCAATGAGGTATAAAAGCTTGGTCTATTTGGCAAGCAGCGAAGACGCCCAATGACCCAGCGATGTGGCTGCCTTGCTAGAGTTTATGGACTTAATATTGAGCACGTAGGGAAAGCTGACTTGTGGTCGTTTATCAGTGTCGGAAACAAGTTTTTTTAAGATATTTTTTTTATCCTCACCAGATTTGGCAAGTTCAATCAACATTTCTGGCCGTGGCGGCAAAGTTCAAAGTTTCTAAGCCGGAATGGTATTCAGCTGTGGGATGGTCCAAAAGGTTGTGGTCTGGAGGGGATGTTAACTTTAAACTATATTTTGCTTATTTGTATCTTGTTTCTCCTATGTATTTATTCGGCTATGAAGTTTCTGAATTTCAAGTTTCTTTTTCTTCTTTCCTGGGGAAATAATACGTGTTTGACACAAATATATTCTTTTTTTTTCTTATATTTGGAGAATATATTCATATGCGATGAATCTATTGGACACAAGAAGGAAAATAAAGAGGCATGGTAATATGGCTATTAGTATTGAAGGATTTAATTCCGTTGAATCAAGCTGATGCATTGTGAGGTTTGATTTAGTTAGATTCAAAATTTTGAGGTTTAAATTTTATTTGATCTCCTTTGATTGTTTTTTTTTTTTTTTTATGTTTAAGTACAACTCGTAATTTAATTATGCCACTTGAGTTTAGCTCGGTAGACTAGATTAAGTTAAGTACAATTGTAAATACATTAAACACTATTTTTATCATTTATTTGTATATATATTAAATATATTAAAAATAAAAGTCATATTAGGCCCTTGAATCTCTTCACTAGAATATTAAACTATTCAAATTAGGCTTGATTTATTATTCAAGTAATTCAAATTTGAGTTTGATTTGATAGTAAACAAATTGAATCGAATAGTTCACGAATAGCTTGATTTGTTTACTCTTGTAAACACCATTTTTTTAATAATAATAATAATTTTTATTTATTTAATATTTTTTCTCTTTTCTTTCTTTCTTCTTTCTTTCTTTTTTCTTTCCTTCTTTCTTTTTCCTCCTTATTCTTTTTTATCCGGTTCAAATCTAACGCATTAAATGCATAATCCCTAAAGTCCAAAATCACCGCCGTTAGCTACCAGCGGCCGATCGACAAGCCGCTTATCATGCATGGCAAGCGTGAATTTTTAGTTAAAAAAAATGGGATTCGAATCCTAGAAGATTTGGGATTTGAATCCCAAAAACCTTCTATAAATAGAGCTTGTTATCTGCAAACAAAAAAGAGAAAAAAATAAAAAAAAAATGGCAAAAAAATTTTACAAAAAAAAAAGCTTCTATCGAAAAAAAATTCTGCAAAACAGTCTCTTGGAATGGGGAACCCAGTACCAAAATACACCTACAAAAATACACAAAAAAGGCAAACTAGAAAAACACAAAAAAAAAAAATTTTTTTGGCTAAAACTTTGAAGGTCGATCTGGGTCGTTTGGGATACTTTCGAGAGAAACCAAGCCTAGATCTGTGTTTAGTGGGACGAGAAGGATTTTGAATTTTTTTTGAGATTTTTCGACCACCGGTGACGACGACCGTTGATCGACGAACGGCGGCGGCGCAGCGGCGACTACGGTCGGCCGGTCCCCTGGTTTTTTTGGTCTGAGAGAAAAAGGGAAAGTTTTTTTTATGAGGAGAAGAAAAAATGATCGAAAAAAAAAATTTTGGTTTTATATAAGCGGCCAAAACCCAAAACGACGTCATTTCACTAATGCCTAAAATGACGTCGTTTTAGCCTCTGAGGATCCATGCGTCGACCCGTGACCCGACCCGGGGTCCACGCACCTGACCCGACGATCCGTTTCTCCTTCAGCCTCTAACTAGTCCATCTGAACTGGACCAGACCGAACCAGATCGCGCTTGAACTGCTGAACTGCTAGACCAAATCGAGCCGTCGATCCGACCAGACCGTTGACCGGTCCGGCTCAGGTAAAAAATTTTTTTTTTTTTGAATTTTTTTTAAAGATTTTTTTATATATTATTTTTGTTATTTTAATTATTATTAATAATAATATTTATGCATGTAAAAATGTTTAAATTTACCAAAATAAATTTGTATTGTTTTATAATATTAATTAATAATATAAAATTGATAAAAAAATAGGAAAATGAAATTTTATCCGATAATGAGATTCAATGGTATTCCGAGTAGTGATGCCTACGAAATTTCTAGGTGAGAAGATTTTTTTAAAAATACTACCAGTGTATTAGAGTATTTATAAAAATTTTTTCAATACAATAAAAATTTTCTTTTTGTTAACAATAAATAAAATTTAATTAATATATTAAAAAAATAATAATATAAATAAGAAAAAAGAAAATTTTATCCAATGACGAGATTCCAAAAGTATTCCGAGTAGAGATGCTTTAAGAAATCCCTAGGTGAGAAGATTTTTTTTAAATATTACCAGTGTATTAGAATATTTATCAAAAAACTTCAATACAATAAAAATTCTTTTTTTTCTCCAAAATTAAAAATAAAATAATTAATAAAATTTTTGAAAAGAGAATAAAATGTGTGCATCAACATGTTATTATTTGCATTGCATACATGACATAATTTTTTACAAAAAAAAAATTCGGACCTCCAAAGATGAGAGTCTAAGGTATTCTGAGAAGTGATACCTAAAAAATCTTTAGGTGAGAAAGAGTTCTTCTAATGTTACCAACGTACTGGAACATTTTAAGAATTATTTCAATAAACAGGTTCTAATTTATTTTTCTCGAATAATATTTGAATATAAAAACAATAAATAAAAAATAAAAAATCAAGAGAACTAATTTTCAAATACCGAAAATAAGATTATTTTTATCAAAATCAATGGATAACACATTGTTAATTAGTACCATTTTTAACAGGCACTGTGGGGGTGCTAATCCTTCCCCACGCGTAACCGACTCCCGAACCTAGACTATTTCCAGACCGTAAAATTATCCTTTTAATAAATTTTAAGATTTCATTAAAAGGATATGTTTTAATAGGTGGCCAATCGCACTTAGCCAAAAAAAGATTGGTGGCGATTTCATATTTTTTTTATTTCGTTTTCAAATTCGTCGGGCGAACACAAAATCGTTACGACAGCTTGACGACTCCACTGGGGATAGCCATTTGTTTTTAAGAGTCAAGCCAAAAATAACTACGTGTTATCCTCAAATTTTGATTTAAACAGTCCTAATTGATTTCTTAGATTTTTATTTTTCATTTTCAACCAAAAAAAAAAAACAAATCAAAAAATCAAAAAAGTTCACACACATTTCTTTTACTATGCTTTTTTTTTACTTTATCTTTTGTATATATTACTCTTAATAAATTATGATATATTTGCACACACAATGACATGCTGCATCTCATGCATGAGCTCTATATCCGAGCTTTGTTCCTTATAGGAGGAAGTAAAGTACCTATGCCCTCTGAGGTGATAACCTTCGTAATGGCAAGTGAAATACTTCCACTTAAATTGAACCTTTTCTGTTCATAGCTTGTAATGGGTGAAGATTGAGGTCCCTTACTAGTCCAGCGTGGATGACAGTGAGGAACAATTTGAGAACCTTTAGACATGTGCCAATTCAAACTCAGCATGTAATAAGCCTAGGAAACCAACCTTAGGTACAACCTCGTCTACCTTCTTGTAAGAAACAACTAAGAATAAAAGTTGTGTGCAATATAAAACAAAACAAAAAAAAAAAATTTTTCAAACCCCATCCTCACACTAACTCAATTTTGTTTTTCTTTTCATTTTTTTACATAAATCATATCATACATTCTACATCGAGATATTTGCTCTAGGATATATTTCTCCCCAATAAGTTTTCATGGATCTCGTAGAACTTCAGATTTGCTTATCCTCAGTCAGTGTCCCATGTGAGCCGTATAACGAAGTATATGTTTGGTCAAAAGAAGCCCAACAAAATAATAAATATTGCTTGCCTATCGGCTATGTGTCAAAGTTGCCCAAAAAGGTGCATTTAGATCTCACATAGAATGATTTAGAAGATTTAGCTACTATCTAGGGACAATTAAATGAAGAAAGAAAAGAAAGGTTTTATAAGAAGTATGGGCAGATTGCATCCCTCATTTTAGTAGTGATCGATGAGCAATTGATAAGGGTAGCTATATAATTTTAGGATCCATCATATAGATGCTTCACTTTTAATCGAGAAGATTTGATGCCAACTATTGAATAGTATTCAATTTTACTCGGGATAAAATTACAGTGTCCAGATAAAGTATTCACCCCAAAGCTAAAATCTGGTTATCGCAAAAAGTTGGCCAAGCTTATAGGGGTTAAAGTGGAAACCATTGATTCCTTTACGAAGCCTAAAGGTG